TAAGTATATCCTAAAGAATTATAAGCAACCAGTAAAAAGGAAAGCGTTTTCTTTTCAAGTTTTCACTCTTTTGCCAATTCCGCAATGCATTCTATTTTTTTATTCTATTTGTCGGGTTCAAAGTACAATTGAACGAAATCGAAAGTTTTTTTTTCTTATATTTTTTTTGTTGTGTGTTTTTTTTTGTTCATTTTTCATTTTATGTGTGTTCTTGCTTACACTTATATGGCCAACTAACTGTACATAAAAAAGCAGCATATATGCATTCAGGAGAGCACTTCCGTCCGAAGCAACACTCACACATACATAGCTACAGACACATACATATATAGATATACTTACTGTTGGTATGTGTAGAAGTGCAGCAATAAAAATGTTGGATTTAAATTATTGCTTCACAGCGAGCTGGAGGGGGCGAGGGGGATGACCACAGGAGGATGTCTGGAAAAGAAGTGGGACAGAGGCCACCTTTTGCTGTAACCTACTCCCACTGTCTAGTGTATGTGTGCTGGAAAAATAATGTGATTCATGTCCTTGAATCATAAAACCAATTTTTTTTTTGTGCTACTCCTCCAATGTATGTGTGTGTGTGTGCGAGTGCTAGTGTGAGAGTGTGCTCCTTACAGCCATTTTTTTCTTCCTTCTTCGGTTTTGTTTGTTTGCACTTTTTTTGAGCAGACGTTGTCTATATAAAAATATATATTCCATGTCATCGTTGGGTGCGGTGGTCTGCTCAATGCCAGACTGCCGGCTAGTGCCGGCCACTGGAACTGGATCTGGGCTAGACGAAGCCGGCAATATCCATTTAGGTGACTCAATGCCAGTCGAACGTTCGGCCACCCATACATACATGCACACAAACCTACTAACACACACTCACCACTCTGTGTGTGAGTCTGGAGAAAGGCATCAAACTTTTATATTTGTTTTTATATTCAATTCAGAAGTTCCAAACAGTTCTAAACGTTACAGAGCCCCACCTCCCGAAATCGGCACAGAGGAAAAAAAAGGTCCTTCGGTACAGTTACATAGGATACGAGTATCTGTTGCTTCTCACCAATACACCAGCGCAGACATACACACATACAGTCTCCCTCTCACACGCACATTAATGCTGATGGGTTTGCATACTTAGTGGGATTTTTTCCGATTATTTGATACAGAATCCCCATTAATGCATGCACGTTTACGAGCCGACCTCACTATCCCTAATATTTGCCAACTTGGAGGATCTTGGCATTGTGTGTGTCCCTGCGACCCTGTCCTTCACCCAGACATTCGGAGATATATGCGTCCGTCCAACTCTTTGGCCATATGCTCGTCTGTTTGTATGTATGTGCATTTTTATTTCTATTTATATATTCTCTTGTGATTTTTTTTTTGCCAAACACATACTTATGGGCATGTGATGAAATCTATGTGTGTAACCAAGTGTTTGATTGTGAGAGGGGCCAGTGGGCAGTGGTTGGGGTGGAGAAAGATATACTGTGCCACATTCAGAGTTTTTATTTCGTTTCTGCCATGTACAGGCAAACATGAAAGACATTAGGCTAGGTCAGTGTCAGACTACTTAAAGAAAATTTGTTATGCCTTGCCTTTATTTAATGCGAATTCCTCCGCTCAACTTTTGCGGAAAGAAACTTTTCCAAGGCCAATCTAGCAAAAAGAAAGAAAGAAAATAGTGAAAGTCCCACAAAAGAAGTCGGCAGTGAAAGTAAAAGAGTCTAAATGCGTTTCCTACCACCTGCCTGCCACCCATTTTGATTGAACTCACATAGAAGATTCTGTAATTAGCCAAGAAATGGGTTAGGATTTCAGGATTTTCAAGGGAATTCTATTCCTGTTCTATTCTATTCCATTTTATGTTGGCCAGGTGGAATTATATACTTTTATTATCCTTAATTTTTTCTAAAGAAAGCCTAGAAAGCATTACACAGTTTCTGAAATATAAGTATGAGTTACGGGGCGTATAATTAATATTCTTAAGGTTGGAGTATAAATTTGCTTTAAAAATATTATACATTACGTTTATTAGGAATATTATTAGGTTTGTTACTTTCTTTGAAAAAAAATGGTACAATTTATAATATACCATCCAAAGATATACATATGTACGTATTTTGAGAGATTTTTATCTGAAACTTAAAGGATATTCATGTTTCTTTGAACTTTTCTTTAAGGAACCGTTTTAAAACTCTTACTAACATAGCAATGCTTAAAGATTTACTAACTAAATGGTATTTTTTTTAATATAATCAAAATAAAACTAGTTTTAATATAATGTAAAATACTTAATAAATATTAAACTACAAGTTATCGACAAGTTTCTTTATATTACCTTTAATCAAAGCCCTTGGCAGTCCTTCAAGACCCAAAAACGACCTCCATAGAACTCCGTAAATAATCAGAATGTTCCGTTAGCTATTTTGGCCAGACTTCTTTCATGGGACCTTCGTGGCAATTGTTCCCGAAGACTGGCATTTCGACAAACTTAATTCGCGCTCCAACGGCGTCACCGTGGGCATCGGCGGCTCACCCCCCGGCGTATCACCTCACCGCTAGATCCCCAGATGCTCAGATCTCGTAATTAAATACTGGCGGACAGGACTCGAATCGGGCCAGGAGCCCGGGTACCGTTACGGTCAGCGGCGCCAAATTAAGCACACAATTTAGAGACATGCTGGCTTTAATCGAAACTCGATATTTTGTCGCTTCCTGAGGCCGTAGGGTAATTAGCCCACGCTTGATTTGCCGCCGCTGCTCCTGTGATTCTGTTAAGTTCATATAGTATTCCCGGTACACGAAGTCTACACCCAAAGCGAGTGTATATGTATCTTTGAGGAGGAGCAATAAAAAAGAAGGGCAACGGCGACTGAATAAAAAGCCAAGACAAATAACAAGCATTTTTATTTTAATACCGACACTTAATATAAACCTCATGGAGCCACAAAATCACGCTCCATTTGTTCGGGGCCCCGACTCCGGCAAGTGCAGGAGCCCATCGCATAGCATCCTGGCGGAAAAACTGAGAAAGCAACGGACTCGGACTACAGGACTATGGGACTAGAGGAGAGAGTCCTTCTCCTTTCTCGCCGACTCATGCACTTGTTGATTTTTATTAAATGTTGTAATAAAATAACAGTTAAGTTGTAACTTTGAGTGGAGCACAAAATAAAAAGGACCGCATCAGCACTTGCACCGTTGACATAGGAAGAAGTAGAAGAGGAGCTGGCGAGGAAGGGAAGTAAAAAAAGAAAAAGAAATACAAACAAACACAAACATAAAAAAGCTTTAGCACCCAAGACCCCCCAGACCCTTATCCTTATCCTGGCAGGGATTCCCAGCCGAAGTCAGCTCATGAGCGAACACAAATAATAAAAGTTCATGAATAAAAATTTGAATGGGTGACTACAAACAGATATCTGTTGCTTTTGGCTTTAAAAACCGACAGCCCCTTGACCGACTCATATAACCATTCCTGACCTATCCACATAAAAGGATATATGGCTTATGAACATTTTAAATATTTAAATAAGAATATTATGCTTTGAAAGTGGTTAGTTTTGAAGGGTTTTATGTTGAGTCCCTGGGGTGGTTAGATTAATACCGATTAGTTAGTTTAGTTTTAGAATTCTCCTATTATATTATTCTTAGTGATATTTTATTAATAGACCAGATCCGTTAAAGATATCCTGCAATTGAAAAGACTCTTCTTGAAACTGTTTCATTGAAAAGTCTCACCATGTAGGACCTCTAAAAGTAGTCGTAATTCCATTCCAATAACTGAGTCTAGAATTTAATTCCATGGCCACTGAACCTTGACTTGGGACCACCTGCCGGAGGATTAGCAAAGCGTTTCGAATACAAATGGTAGAACCTGGGAGGGTAGAAGCGCAAAAGCGCAATTCAATAAAAACCCCGGTTTTTCGCTGAAAGAACAGGAATAAAATGAAATGCTTCCGAGGGTAGTTAGAATCGGCTCCATTTCGCCAACTGACGGTCAAGTTAATGGTTCGCTGATCAGGCAAACTGGACTGGCCACGGCTGCTGTTCAAAAGTCCGCCGGAGAGCTGAGATTCAGTGCCGGGAGACGGTGGACGGGAGTCGAAAGCAGCGCGGTTGTGTTTTCCAAACTTGAGAACATGTCCAGCTCAAGTTGTCGGAAAAAGCGACTATCAACTGGACGTTGGTTGGGTTTTCACCGCAACTGTTGGAGGAGCAGGACGAGCTGGAGAAGCTGGAGGCTAACGAACATTTGTTAATCCCCTCGATTCCAGCCGGGCCATCATCCCTAACCCCATTTAAATATACCCTCGCCTAACACACCCTCGAATACATATTTCAGTTCTTGGACTTGGCTCAAGGGACCGATGCGATGCGATGCCATGTGATGCGTCCAGCAGCTAGCCTTTCGTCTTTGCCTTTGCAGGTCCTGCCATAACTAATACTGCAGGCGATGGCCACAGCCGAGGATGTGGATGTGGATGTGGATGTCGCATAAGCAATTTCTGGCCTTCCCCCACCCCGGCCTCCTTTCTATTGCCGGCGAATTCCAGCCAGCCATTCGAGTTGGCCGCGGCCGCTCCGAAAGGACATGGCAAGCCCAACCAACAACCTTTTGATGTGTGCCTGTGTGAGTCGAAGGGTTGGCAACCAGAAGAGTGGGGTCCTTGGCTGAAAAGACGAGCTAGGATGAATATTTCCGCTGAATGCTTCGCAAATGCAGAGCATTCACCCATTCCTTTGGGCCAGAGCCATCTACTCTAGTCGTTGGGCCGACGTTGTCGTTGTCGTTGTCCAAAGACCGATGTCCGCTGTCCGGTGTCCGTTGTCCGCCGTCCGTTGTCGTGGAGGCCCAGTGTCCGATGCACAAGCAGCTAGCAGCTACGGTTACGAACAAGCCAGTGGTAATTCGCAGCCAACTTCTGGGTGACAAGCTCCTTCCAGCCAGCCACCATTCTCCACCTTCGTCCTGCATCCTGCTCCCTCCGTCCTCTGTTCTATGGCCTCTGCCATCTCAATCTACGCGTTGTGCGCCCATGTTTCGCCTTGGCATATCGGCCGCCCCCGAAATCCAGTTCGTTGGCATACAGGACCCCAGAGTCGTCCATCGCCCATCGCCATTCGCCCATCGACCATCTCAAATCGCCCAACTCCCGGCCAGCCGCGTGTCCATCATGCTGCCTTCCTGCCAGCCTTGCTGCTTTGGTGCCTTGCCTTGCTATTCCTTGCTGCCTGCCACCGCATCCATCGCCCGACCACCTGACACCAAAAACAAGTCGATCGATAATTTCCATAGTTGACCGCTGCTGTATATGCGAATTTAGATGCGGACATTTACACAAACACAAACATCGCAGCATACGTAGCACTTCGTGGACCTCCGCATCCATATCCCTTGTATCTATGTACTGAGAGAAAAAAGGAGCACTGTTCTAGGTGAAAATATTTTAAGGAAAATCTTGAGAGACTTGTTATATCTTATCCAGTGGAGAATTATATTTTAATATAGCATGGTAATATATAGTAATCTAAGACTATTAGAGAAAATATATAATGGATTATTATACGATCTAATTTTTAGTAGACCATATTTTTTTCAGTGCCCTGTAAGTGTGTGTATGTCCGAGTGCTCGGACATCGAGCAAAGAAGGCCTCGGCACGAAGGAAGGCCAACGAAGTCGGGCAGCAAGAACCTCCAGACAGTAGCTATGTAAAATATTGTTTGCATACGGCTTGCGATTGCTTGCTACATCGGCGGCCAAAGCTGATGAGGAGATGGCTCCGTATCCGGCCAGTGGTTGTGGACCAAAATGGGGGGGCTGCGACTGGACTGGACTGGACGGGGGCTGGGGTGGAAAGGGTTGTGGCCGGGACTGGGATCTGGGCATCGTTTTTTGGGGGTGGAGATTTTCTCTGGTCCACTGGCGATAGAGTCTATATGGGGTACGTTCTAACCGGGCTAGGTCACGTTTTGCTGCGTCGCCATCGTCTCTAAAATTGAGGTTGAGGCTGGAGGACTTGATGCGATGTAGCTGCTGCTGCTTCTACTGCTTTTTGTTGTTGCTGATGCTGCTGCTGCTGCTGCGGATGCTGCTGATGCTGATGCTAAAGCCAAAGTCCAAGTGGAAGCAGCAGCAACTCTAGATGAGGTAGCTGCGCGAGACGTCGGAACGAGATGGCGAAAATTCGACTTTTCAAGTTGCCATGGACGGCTTGCATATAGCCGGAGTGTGTGCGTGTGCCTTTGCTTTTGGGTTTGGTTTTGCTTTTGCTTTTTGGTCCGGTGGGTGGGTAAATTAATACACAAACACATGTGCATCGGCAGAGTGAAAGAGCTAGAAACGAAAGACGGAGACGTAGCAAATTCTACGGCTACGGCTCCGACTACGGCTCCGGCTTGGACTACAGTTTGGACTATGCAGACGGAGTCGGAGACGATGGCAGCTAAAATTCAACTCTATAGCTGTATGTACGAGATGTTGGCTATTTCACGAATGCCGCCGACGTCGCAATTGACCAAGAACTGTTGTTGTTGCCGTATTTGCCGTGGCAGGGTACCTCCTCCAGTTCGAGCCAGCAAGGCTTCTACCAATCTGCCGGACCACCACAGTCCCATTCGGCCACTTGAGTCTCGGGAGTTTCCAGAATTTGCATATACATTTGTTTTGCTATATACACAGACCCGGCCAAGGAGCCCGGGCAGTGTTAAGACTCCGCTCGAGAATGGCTAATAAAATTACCTAATTCACGAGCTTTGTCACCGCTTTTTCTACATATGCATCATAATTTTCATAAATATGAATAAAGTAGCAGGTGTTTTTAAGTCTTATTAATATAAATATTTAAGAAATAAATAAAAAGGTCAATTATAGGAGGCATCAAAGAGCAATGTCCTAAGAACTTTATAAAGATTAATTATTTATTTGTCTATTGAAAAAATATGACTATGACTTTCATAATTAATATTTTGAAAAAAACCAAATTAAAAGTACATTTAATATTGTATGTATTTTATATTTCAATGATAAATATGATCTATTCTAAGACCCGCTAGCTCTTCTTCCAAGGAAATACCTAAAACTTTCGAGACCCCTAAAACCAGTGTGCCAAATCTTATCGTACATTTCGGTTACTGCTGGTCATCCGTGGAGGTGGTTGGACAGGCGGACAGCTGGACCGCTGGACGGACCAATGATGCAAAGCACACCTACCCGATATATGGAAACGTATGTATACTCGCATGTACACACACATACTTCTTCCTGGGCAGAAAGTTTTGAGCTAGGATCGCAAGGAAGGCTTGGAAAGGAATGGCGAGCAAAGGCAAGGATAGGAAAGGATGCGAGAAAGCAGGGCATGGTGTGGATGGACGGTGGTGCTGCAATAAGGACAACGTAGGAGCAGCCACATCAGATTTTGCGCCTGAACGGATGCTCGGACTGGATGGCCGCCCCATGTATCAAGACTGCATCCTAGCCATCTGACGGTTACGCCAGCATTCTGACATACAGACGCACAGAGGCATGCAGAGCAGGAGGAGTATCGGCAGGAGCATTAGGAGGAGTACGGGTAGGAGCTGGGGTTGGACTATGTATCGGGGATAGTTCGCCGACTCGCATCCTGAAGACTTTCAAACGGACTGGACATTAGAATTAGAACGAGAACGCACACACACTAACACCAGCGCATGCCTCCTCCAGGACGGAGGAATATGCATATTATACGAGTATATAACTTTCATTTGGCCAAAGCTAGCACGCACACCAGGATACGTCCAAGTTGAAGAAATTGCGCGTGCCTGCAATTACATGTGTGTGTGTTTTTCATCCTGCGAGTCTATACGAGTGTGTATGTGTGTGTGTGTGTGGTTGCACTTGCATTTGCATAAATGCATGCTGCGTATATTGTGCTGCGGTGCGTTGCACGAAGACATAAATATACACTCAGGCTCGAAGAAAGACGCGTTGTATACATTTGGGCGTATGTTTGCCAATTTTTGTCCTGATATGCGCTACCGATAATTTTCATATAAATTATTTATATTTCAGGGGGCAGCCATTAGAAAAAGTCTTTTCTTATCATTAGTCTTATCTGGGGGATTATTTATGTTTTCTAAAGTTAAATACTAAAGTAATTCAAATTAAGAAAGCAGAAAGCTTCCATACCATCTTAAGTTGGTTTTAAATTCAATTTAAGTTTAAGATCATAGAATAGGGCCTTAAATAGATAATAGTTATATCCATGAATTAAATAATAAGCTCTTAAAAATTTTCCAATGATATTCTTGAAATTCAAACAATTACGCAAACAATTACAATTACAATTAAGGTTGAAGAACATATAATATTGCATAAAATAGATAAAAGTTATATTAATTATTCGAATAATAAGCTCTTACAAAATTTCCAAGGATTTTCCTCAAATTAAAACAATTGTGCAAGCAATTACATTTAAAACAACTATAACCTTTGTAATTAAATGTTTCATTAACTCGCAAGTACTTTCATGAGGAATATGATTAATTGGTTTACAAAAGCCTTTAGCCAAATACAATTACCTAACTTTTCCTTTCTTAATAGCCTTTAAGTCCACAGCCTAATTAAATGTTTACAAGATGAAAAAGGCAGGGTCGAGAAACAATAAATAAAACTGATATGTGACATTGTAAATAATAAAATACTCACATGCATTTAATGCATAGCCCAGACACACTCGTACTTGGCCAAGAACACTTTCCCTCGAAAGCTCCTTAAGTAGCTAACACGCACACACTCACTCACACACACACACACACACAAGCAGATGGCCATGTATCCGGCCATAAATAGCTCATTATCATTAAATTAGGAAAACAAGTTGTTTAACCCAATGCTTGTGGCACTTTGGCTGGAATTTGCTCTATTAACACACAGGAATACCCAGACACACACACAACAAACACACAGGAGTGTGGCAAGTGCAATCATAAATAAACATTTGTTGCCATTATAATGAGATGAAAGTCAATGTCAATGCAACTCACCTGTGTACGCACCTGTATCTAATATACATGGGAATGCGATAATGAAATACATTATGTACTGGGACGGCCTGCTGGGGCCAAGTGCATTATAGCCATTGTCTGGCTCTGGCTCTGACTGGTGAAAGTTTAATGAACTCGATAATCAGGCTAACTAATCCAACGCAATTAGAACGCAATGCCTCATTATCCTGGCGCCTGTGACCTTTGGGGCTAAAGTAGCTGAAAAGTTTGGGCCGCAATCGGGTATCTCGTGGCAGTGAGTCTCGAGTAAATAAGTGAAACCTAATTGAAAACTAATTTCCTCACACACACGCCCACCGCTCCAATGCTCCACTGGTGGCTCCGTGTGGAAATAAAACGCGAATTACATGCGAATGGCCACAATATGGGCAATAAAACATCGGAATCAGTTTGCTCGCCGTCTTAAGGAACAAGAGCGCAGCCACATCATGGCTAATAAAAATTTATTGGCGCCAGGACAGGCCCATGACCAGAGCTCGGATATAAATAAAATGGGTCGTAAAAGGGACTTTATGCTGCAGTAAACACGTCATCAACATATCAACTGGGCACAGATAAGCAGTTACCAGTATCAACTCTGCCAAGTTGGGGGCAATTAGAGTCATAAACTGGGGCTCCGAACGCGGAAGAGGCGTCAACGGGCACGTCGGTATATTAGCACTTGATGGAAATGGCTTTGGCCATAACAATCAGCCTTGGCAGGTGTGTACGGCTTTTCAGCGGTTTATCGCCGCAGGATCATAACACTACTGACCGCTACCGGAAAGAGCTCCATGCAGTAAATATTCTGATTTACCCGTGACGAGTTGTTTTTATGAAGTCGATTTATTTCAATCTTAAGGGTATTTACTTTTTTGTTTATTAATATACATTTTCTATGAAGGTTGGGAGTAAATGAGTGATGAAGGAGGAATGACGGAGTCCTCCAAAACATAAGGAAAAGCTTGAGTACGTCTATATGACCCACAAGGTTGCCTATATCTTTGCCAAAATGTATCCGATTCTTGAGCGGAGTACCTTAAATGATTCGTGGATCGATTCTCCATAGATCCGCATCAAAATCCAGAAACAAAATATTTTTTAGAATTTTTGTCAAATTTTGTGGGGGTCCCCTTTAAAAGTGCAAAAATGTATGGGACCGACAATATGGCCCACTTCGAAGGCTATAACTCTGCCAAAACATATCCGATTCCTAAGCGGAGTACCTTAAATGATTTGTGAATCGATTCTCCATAGATCTGCATCAAAAACCAGGAACAAAATATTTTTTAGATTTTTTGTCAAATTTTGTGGGGGGTCCCCTTCAAAAGTGCAAAAATGTATGGGACCGACAATATGCCCCACGTATCTTTGACAAAATAAATCCGATTCTTGAGCGGAGTACCTTAAATGATTTGTGAATAGCTTGCTTGCTTCTTTAAGCAATCTTGCTTTGTCTATAATGTATTGTGAGACACTTTAAGTCTTCAAATCCACATAAATAAAGTTTGCAAAATTTAATGAAGGACCCCAAAAAATTCTTGTAAATTATGTACGTAAATGGAATTCAAAAAAATACGTCTGTAAATGTTATTTGGTTAAATACAAAGGAGAATTTAGGTTTAGTATTGTTAAATTAATTAGCCATGTTGGAGGGGTGGGAAGAATGTCCCAAATATGCGTCAGGCCTTGAGCAAAAAGTTTTCCATGTGGTCAGAGTCCTTCCCATCCTCCACCGAAAATTCTTTCATTTATTTTTTTTCGATTTTCCCTTTTTTTTATATTGTTTGCGAGTGTGTGTGAGTCAAGACGAACTTCTAGCGCGGAGAAAATGAAAAGGTGAAGGAGCATTTTTTCCATCATCCTCAAATGTGTGTATCGTGCAGGACGTCGCGCAAATCACCCAAGTGAATTCACGCCATTTTTCAGCGTCCGTCGCTTTGTCCGGACGAAGGCCCAAACACACACACACGGCACACACTCATGCGATTGTATACTCCACACACACATCCCACCCTGTGAAAGTCCAGTCCCGGACTCTACGGTTACCCCACTTAACCGTCCGGCGACCCGGCGAGGCCGCTGATTCCTCCCCGCTCCCGGCCGCGTTCATGTCCTGGCTGTTGTCCCGTCCTGATGCTGATGCTGACACGTTCGCTGTCCGTCGCCGGGCGTTCGAATACAAAATAAATATCCAATATATGCCCATGTGGGTGTGTATCCTGTTTCTGGCATATATTATAAGTGGAATAGAAAAATAAATGCGCCGAGATAAAAGTTTTCTGGCCAGCTTCTCCTTCCTACAGGAGCGGCTAGCCAGGTCCCATGTTTATACACGGGACAAAATTTTTGATTGGATTTTTAAAGGGGGAGTCTTAAAATTTCTACCTTAGCTATATGACAAAAAATTTCGGATTGGAGTTTTAAAGGGGGTCTTGAAGTTGTTACCTTTAGGAGAAGTCTTGAAGTCTATGTAATCAGTTAGAAATTGTTAGGAGGTTCTTTGCTTTTTTATTTTTATTTTTATTTAGGATATATCCTATTTTATCTATTCAATAGAAAAGTCTAACTTTAACAATTGAGTTTATTAAAAGGATATAGATTTGTTGATAGAATGATTTCCTTTTTCATGAAATTTAACAACTAATGGTTATAGATCGCCTTTAAAACCATAACTTAATAACCCCATCGCAGTAAATTTTTGAAAAATTTAACAAAAATACATTTTTACACCACTTCTTGAAGAAGAATCCCAAACGTAGACGTTATTATATTTTTCCAAGTGTTTATGGGACTTGGGTCTCCCACCCACCCACTGGACCAACCACTCACCCATCCGCCCAGCCATACCACCGCCCACTCCGGCCGTCCGGCCCTCCACCGCGACGCCTCCGTTCAATTCACCGCGGCGCAGCGGCAACATGTCAGCGGCGAACAATAACAACAAGCTGAAGAACGGAGCGCGACAAAAGCGAAGGCAAAGGCCCACTTGCAAGTCGCCCAGGCTGCAAAACGGACGCGTCACGAAGCACGTTTGAAATATTGAAGGAAGGACATTTAGGAATAAAATGAAAGGATCGCACCCCACCCGCCAATAGCCCAACCCCTCGCAAACGTGTGTCCTCGCGCACACACACACTGCCACATACGTGTATACATGTATACTGGAAAACCCATACCGAGGAGAGTCGACAACCCGTGTGTGCAAAACCCTCGCGCGACCCCCAACCACCTTCACATGTCCTGTTTGCTTCGGCAAGAACCCACTTACACACACCATCACATGTCCTGCTTATACATACGTGGATATGGGTGTGGGTGTGTGTGTGTGGGTGTGTATACTTCGCGTAAATATTGGGAGTCCTTGACTACGCGATGTGAATGATGCTGATAAAATACAAATTCTTGGGCCGCGGCCGCTAGTGTATTTACACAACTGTACTTATGCCCAGCCGGTCACTGGCCAAGTCCGAAACGGAGACGGATGCTTAGGTGGGGGCGGCATTGGCGGCGGAGTGAAAGGACGCAGGACTACGGACTACAGACGAAGGACGGCATAGGAAGTCCCACCACCGCGGGGGACGACAACACGGCCCACGCCTTGGCGCACAACATTGACTAGCCGCTATTGCAGGGTCCCGCGACTCGGAAGTCCAAAAAGGACACCGCGCAAAAAGGGACCAAAGTCTTTGGGGATCAACTGAGAAAAATTTTGGGGTATTCAGGAAAAAAGGGATCTTAAAAAATAGCTCAGAATATCATAACTTTAAGATCATGAATAACTCTTCAGTCCTTGAGAAGGGATTATTTCAAAATGTCTAGAGTCGGACTCAAGTTTCGAAAATATTAAATGAAGAATATAAAAACCTGTCACATATCCCGTCAAATTATGTACCAATAGTTAGAGGATTTTTTTTGAGATTCCTTTGGGAATACCTGCCACCCCTTTTCGGCCAGTGCACGAAATCTCCTTGTCCAGTTAGCGAACAAAAATCTGCGACGAAATTACGCCACATGTGTTCATGCCACGAGCAAATTTTCAGCGAAGCTAACGGACGGTAGGCGGACAAGGGACAGCACTTTCATCTTAGGACGATTCTTTCAAGGGACGAACCCAATTTCGCCATCCCATCAAGGGGGAGGAAGGTGGCCGGAGTTGGGGCGAGTGTTTGGAAAAAGGAAAAGGAGCCGGACTGGGCGATGGCTTGGGGGGCAGGGTGGTGGTCACGGACATCACATAAGTTGGTTGTGTGTATGCGTGGGTCGTGAACGATTGTGTGAGCGAATTTGGTGGCATGGGTATCGCGCTAAATGGACAGCCGCCCAGCTCAGACAGTCACCCACCCACCCACATGTGTGTGTGTGTGTGTGTGGGTTTGTAAGTGCTTGTGTGTTCTGTGCCTCCAACCACGGCCGTACATCTACGGCTACGGCTACGGCTACGGCGACGTCGACTACGGCTTGTGTGTGCCTTGGGCGCGGGTCCGTACACGGCAGCAGCATCAGCCACTTTGTCCAATTTTCAAACGGTCACTTTTTGAAACGAATTTTCCTCACCACCACCACCCAACCACCCACCACCACCCATACAGGCCCACCCACCCGTAGCAGCGCCCTTAGCGACGTTGTTCGCGCGGAGCGGCGGCAATGATTCTAGGCCATGAAATCGACATTCGAATTTTAGAATCCACTTAACCCCTCGCCCAGGGAAGAAACTCTCAGATGCTCTCGTATCTGCATCTTAAAGTCAGCTCTATTCAGTTTGGTTTTGATTTAATCGGCATTTTCGGCATCAGATTATGTTTCTGACCAATTTACAAGAGTTTATGGTAATTAATTTGATTTCCATTAGAATGTCCTTTTGACAAAAGAAGACTTAGCAAGTCATTAGGAGTTATTATGGAATACTGTACGGCAACATTTATTCTTATCCTTTGAGGCAATAATCTTATTACTTGGAAGCTGAAGAGCTTCTCCTGGCCAAGTCCTCCTTCCTAAGATTTAGACGCGAATCCTTGAGCAACGAGGCCTTGACCGTTTCGTACTTCTTCTGGGACTCCTCATGGGTTAGGGTCAGGCGCTGTTGCACCATCCGCTTATTGAGCTCCAAGTTCTTGGATTGCTGAACCAGACGCTTATAGTCATAATTGTCGAACTGATTCTCGAATTTGTTGAGAAACCGATTGAGTGACTTGGACTCGGAGGTAAGCTATAGAAAAGAAGAAAGCACTCTATGAACAAACAACAAACTTTCAAAGAAAATAATATAACAAACATACATCTTCGTAGTGACGCTGCAGATTATTTAGCAAGCTCACGAACCGGGTCCTCAAATCATTGAGACAGGAATTGTAGACCAGTAAGGATTGTTCCGGGGTGAGTTCATCCTGGTCCTTATAAGGCACCAAATACGGAGCCAAGAAGTCGGCTGGCTTGCTGGCGATTTCCTTCTTGAGTTCCTCCTCCTCCTCAAACTAAAAAAGATATATGTTAAGACATATTGAAAAATTGAGAATAAAAGTAGTTCCAACCTGTTTCATTCGAATAGCTCTGGCCGCTCCATTTCTCAGCGGATCAAATATGCTAAACTTGAGCTTAGGATCAGCTTTTTCAGTCTTACGCAAGTCGAAGATATTGTTGATGTCCTCGTTGATTTTTTCAAAATTCTTCCTCAACTGATCCTCGTAGGCGAGTTGGTCGCGCAGCAATTTGTATAGCTCCAGATTAGTGCGTGTAGGATCTAGGGGATTTGCCTGCCAAGGATTAAACTATTAATTTCCAGAAAGTGGTCTCAAAAACTACATCTAATCCCTGTACCTTGTATATTTTTGTTAGCTTCTCGTCATAAACAAGTTCCTTGCCGTAATCCGGTCGAGGGGGCTTTGTGAACTCCACAGTGGTGGCTGTAAGTGCTCCAAAAGTATAATGAAACTTTAAGATAATTTTATTTTGTTGAAACAGAAATATGCGAGTTGCAATATCAGTGGTTCCCACATCATGAGCACTGGCTTTGTGGAATTTCTCAGTAACTTTCTGTAACAAAAGGGGGTTTTCTCATCATTTAGCTTCAGGAATAATTTAATTAATTTACTTTAAGGATATGTTTGGAACTAAAGTCGAATTCCTTGTACCAGCATTTGTCACAACGACCTTTGTAGTGGAGGACCAAGCTCTCTGGATTGACAACCATCAAGTCCAGGGAGTCGATCCGGGAACCAGAATAGAAGTACACATGTCGTGTTTTCATGGGATCCGAGAAGTACTCCATAGCTGCGGTAGGAAATGTTTTATAAAGTATTATAGTAACTTATCTTACTTACATTTTAAACTGTCGTTGCGGCCCTTGATGAATATTTCCTCAAAATGATCGGTGGCATAGGTATACTTTACATGCCTCATTAGGTCCGCACGATTTTCGTAATACTCATACCGGACTTTGGGATCCGTGCACTCGTCATTGTTGTAAATGGTCAGTTGCATCACCTTGCCGTCCCGCTGGGAATACGGAGAGAATCTCTCGTGGATGGCCCCCTTGTACTGGATCTTCTTCTCGGAGCTGGGGAACCTTTGCTCGTAGTCGGCCAATCCGATGTGGAGGCGTTCCACCCAGGAGCCGATGCAATCCAGATGCTTCTCCTCGTAAATGTCTCGGTCCTCTTCGGTTATGTTCTCGTCGGAGGCGACTTTGTAGACTCGCATCTCCGGTGGTTCCCCCGGGAGCATGTGCTCCCAATCATTGGTCTCCCTCAGATCCCAGCGCAGATCCCCGACTCTTTGGTGCTTCTGCTTGTTGACATAGTAGTTGTATTGATTCCATACACTGTCTATGAGGATGTACTGCTTACACCCCGTCTCGCATATGAAGCCCGTGGAAGGCTCAATGAACATGGCCGTGGGAGGAGCCTCCACGACATCGCCATTTACGTCCGTGTAGGTGGTCTTGGGCTTCACACTCCAAGGTGCATTGTTGATGATCACCACCCAGGCATGGCTGCGCCGGTAATGATGCCGATCCACGGCCAGCAGCTCAAGATCCTTTTTAGGAAAAACCGAAATCCTAATCTGCGTTTCAAGCAAACAAGTGCATGCTTACCTCCATTTGCTTCCTGATAATTTCGTCCTGCACCCGTTTCTCTGCGGCATCCTTCAGCCTGTGCACCTCGGCCATATCCTCCTCGAGATGACTCGACAGATCGGGTAATCCGCGCAGCTTATACTTCTGACCCTGCTTTTCGACGGGCGGCGGCATCTCCTCGGCCTCGACCTCGACGATCGGGTAGGGATACGGAATGGCTAGCTGGTCGTTGACAACGACCTCCTCCCGGGCCACCCCGGACACCACCAAGGCGGGGTGTCCTGCCCCCGTTAGCATGCTGACCAAAAGGGTGGCCATTTCGTATGAGTTCCCCCTCCGTCTTCGCAACAAAGTATCGGGTGAAATCAGGCGAGTTGGCTGTAAAATGGATTTGAAATGATAAACTGCCTAGAGTCCTTAAAAAGTTGTATCCTTGAATAGCCAATCACTGGCATTCAATTGCTCTACATTTTGTTAATAGGTGCCTTTAAATAAATATGTATAGAGGAATAATTATAAACCGGGCTCAGGAAACAGCAAGGAAGTTTCCAGGAAATTTGGCACAATCTATTGCGCAGCACGAGACAAAGAGGATATCTTGAACCACCTTTTCGAATCGTTTACCTGCCTGGAGAAAATTGATGTTTACCTTAACTACATATATATGCCAATATATATATGGGCCTGTAAACACAGCAGGAGTCAAGAATCGAGGAGGTTAAGTTTTACAACCTCTGGAAAGTTATATCCGTTTCAGCGGGAAGTTAACAACAAGGGCGAGGTGTGAAATGTATCCTTGAGAACCTGCTGGACTTGATCGATCCTCTCGATCTCAAAATATGTATATTTAAAAACAGATTTTATCTTAAAAACGATCTGAAAAATCGGTCTATTCGTATCTCTCCAAGGACCCCTTAACTTAACTTATATCCGCTTATTTTTATGCATTTGCGATTTGCGGATGTCATTCAGTGGGACAAGGACAATCAGCGGTCTGTTTGTGTTGCATCGCTCAAACGGGAAAGGACGACCACTCCCATTTAATCTGCCTCGGGTTGTCCTTTGTCAACGCCGATTGTCCAGATTGCTGTTACCTGCACACGGCATCTGCAACTTGGCCCGTAGGTGGCTGCACGACCCCGTGCCATTCATCTTCGTTCCTGTTCCGCGAAGACTTAGGAGACAATCCCTCCAGGATTGCCAGGAATTCTGTGCATGTGCTGCGACTGAGCCGCGTCCTGTGTGGAACTGTGAAGCGTAGCGAAACGGCCATTAACGCGGGAAACGCTCACAATTATCGTAGGCCTGATCCTGAATCTCACTTTCGGGCTGGAAGACTGTTGCAACAGAGCAAAGGGGCAAGGAGGCAGGGGCAGGACAACCAGGAGCAGTTCAAAAATCAAAAAATAAACATAGATTTGTTTTTCTTCCAAAAACTATAAGAGGAAGTGTTGAATTTCAATAATGGATATATGTTTTTCTACTGACTTTAAGTCCTTTCAGTTCTGAGGTAAGGATTATCTGAGGTCTAATAATCTAGATTCTAGAAAGATAATGAATAAGTGTACTGATATTTTAGAAAAAAGGTACTATTAAGTATTTGAAACTAATTTTAACAAACTTTAATTTTTTAAACATTTATTGAGAAAGTATTAGCTCCTTTTGATTAGCTAATTTGTGTCCCTTTCAATTAGAATTTTAATCGTTTCCCTGCCAAACACTGATAATATTGAATACAAATTCTTTGGAAGTGAGAGGCAAACAGGATTTCAGCGATGCGGAGGTCCTGCACCTTTCGTTTTCCACCCTGCACGAGTACGCCCCGTCGCTTCGAAGAAGGCCATTAAAATGCAAAATCGCCGTGTGAAGCCATAAGAATCACAATGAGGCCCGGAGTCATCGGTTATCAGCGGGGAGAAGCGGAAAGGTATGCATGCACACATAGTAGTGAATTGTGAACTCCGGGAAGGAGGAGTTCGAGGTCAGAAACACACTCGCTGCTGGCTGCAATCGATTAGTCAGCGAAAACCAGTCACTCAGTCAGTCAGCGGCCTCTAATTGAATTCGATTCATGCCGTCCCCTTACCTGGCCAGCGGATTGGGTTCCTCCTGCCTCCTGCCCCTGGACCTACTCCTCCTCCTGGAGTCGCGAATACCGCTTTCCCGCTCTGCCGCCCCTGCCGCTCTGACGCTCCGACGCTATCACTGCGGTCGCGCGTAATAAGAAACGCTTCAAGGTTATTCGAACGTGTTAAATTAGGATCGGGCCTCCTGGTTAAGCGACAGTGGCAACAATGGAGGAGCGAACATGACCAAAACAAAAGGGTCGTCGAATGCACAGCACAGCGAGAATGGAGCAACGGGCGCCCGGTTGCTCGAGCCGGGGTCTTGGCTCAAATTACAGCCATGCATTGGGCATTGTTTGGGCTGAGATGGACGACTGTGTGATACCCGGTAATAATTAAACACTTATTCTTATTATTTATAATAGAGAGAAAAATGAATGGAATAAAAAATGTATTGATTGTTCAACTGATTTGATCCAAAGTGTTGTCCCTGAGATACTTTACGATTGTGGGGCCTAAAATAGTCTAACAAAGTTATATAGCTCTTGAAATCCTACTATAGGTTACCCAAACCCAGTATACCCCTCTTCCAGCCCAAGAAACAATGGGTACTAAAACGACAACGTCCATCGAAAGGAAGAAGTACAAAAAAGCGAGAAAAATAAAACTGCGCCAAAAGCGGCGAAAAATTGCGAAAAAAAAGGGTGGCAAGTAACAGAGTCTGCCGAGACAGAATCACTTTCAGTTGCCACCCTGCTGAATGGCTGCCACCGCTCGCGGGTCACAACTCAAAACAATGCGGCACACACAGAAAAGGGCTCAAGAAGACGGGGTTGGCAGACTGGTGGACTGGCGGGCAGGACTGACAGCCTTCCCTCGTTGACACAATGCAGCGGCTCCCGTCCTCCCCCTCGCGACACGGCCTCCAGGCTGCCACCCAGTGCGGCGACATCCCTTCGTTAAACTAACCTGGGGGCGAAGGACTCACTTGGGAGGCGGCACATCGCTTATCGGGATGCATAATGAGCCGCTGCCATCTTTTTCATAAGAGCGCTGAAACAAAGCGGTGAAATTCAGCGTGATTCCTTCGGTTCAGCCGCAGAGTCCTTCTTACAGGACATACTGAGCATGTGTGGGTATGTGTGTGCGTGTGTGTGTGTGTGGGTGTCTTCAGGAAATCCCAAGCCGGGGCTTTTGCGGGCCGGCATGTGTAAGTTTTTAAATGAGCACACACGATGAAAATCAGCGACTTAACCCCTTTATGATAATGTACTGCACGGAAGTGTTATTGTCCTGGGGACAAAAGGACACACGGCGTCAACACTAGCGGCCATAATACGCGCAATGTCTCCACCTCCATCTCCGTCTTTGCTCATAAGATTTTCCGGCTATACCCCTAATGTTGGCCGAAAACCCAAAGACCCAACCGCTCACTATTTGCGCGTCTTTCTTAATATTGCACCCTGGATGTACGTGGATGTCTATAGCGTCTTTCACGGAGCCGGGGATTTTATTATTTGCCTGCCTTCCGCGACCCTGCCTTCCGTGTTCCGAGCTGCGAGTCCCTTGGCCCATAAAAGTCCCCCCGGCCAATAGACGCTCTTAAAAACGGCCAAGATTAAGATATAAACACGCGAAATTAAGACATTTGATTCCCTCCTTTTCAGCTCGAGAATAATGCTTTGGGTTGGCTGGGATTCTCATATGTAGTTTCAACCGTGGAGAGTGGTGGCTTATTAATATAGGCCACGGTTTATTAGCCTAGTTTCGTGGGTGGTTAATTGAATGCCTTGAGCATCGGAATTTCAATCCTTTTTGGAAATCGTTTCATGGAGAAAGAGGTATGGTAAGCTTTACTAAACTGAAATAATATATAAAATAAAGGGTAATTATCTGAAAACGTAAGAAAAGAGAAGAACATACCATATCTTTAAATTAAAAATTCCTATACTCCAATATCAATAGAGTCCCTTGAGTACTTGTACTCACATTTCTTGCATTTTTAACCAAGAATATCTGAATAATTAGAAACATACATAGAACATAATGCCATCTTAATAAATAATGGCCCATCGCATGGGTTAAATTTCAGACCTAAACTTTCCGGCCATTCTTATTCAATATCGCGCTGTCTGAGCCAAGAGCGAGTATGTATACAATGATGATGGTTTTAAACTCCGCCGTTGTCTTTAGGATACAAAACCCTGGACAGCCGGTGGACACGGGCCAGTAAAGTGGAAATGTGACCGAGTGGTGGGGTGGATGGGCGTATGGGCAGCACATGGGGAGACGCCACCAAGCGCCCCGGCAAATGCGGCATCCTAACGACGGCATCCGCACAACTTACAATCACAGATTCGATCCAAGTCACATGGCGTTGCCCACAGCGAGGATAAATGCGACGGACAGACGACGTCGCTAAGAAGGGTGGCGGGGGGCGGGGGGCTGGGATATAAGGATGTGGGGATGGTGATGGAGGAGGAGGGGCGGAATGCCCAGGACCCGGGCATCGAGTGATGTGACGGGGGTCGCGAATCCAGACAGATGCGGACACTGATGCGAGGACTCGGACACAAAGTCGATGTGTGTTTGGTTTTGGTCTGCTTTTGAGCAAAGGAAAACGCCATTCCGTCGCGGGCAAGGCGAGTAAGTGGAGTCGACGAGTCCTGCAGTCGACAATGGCAGACGGTGTAGATGTAGATGCTACGTGGGGCACTCGAAAAAACCTATAATCTATTCAATTGTTGGAATTGAATAATTTCCGTCTACCCTGCCTAGCTGATGGATGGAGAAATTCTAAACTTTGGCATGGTCTGCAAGTCCTTCTGAATGAAAGGATTCATTATTGTTTTCTCTCAGTGTAACTGGTCAAATCTCGATGGTCGCGCAATGGCCGTGTCAGCGACAGCGAAATTGGCGTCTAGTTTATTGTAGCCACGAAGGCTGTTGCTGGAGCACCTTTGGCGGAGGGAAGTTGCGGATGCGGTGGCTTTCGAGAAGGGGTGTCCTTCGGGCATGGGCTAGTGGGGGTTGCGGATGTCCTGCGACTTAAAGCCAGCAATGGCATGGTAAACAGCATCTATTTCGTGGCCATTTGGACATGGGAATGGGCCGGGGAAGGGAAAGCCCACGTCATCAGCTTGCCGCGCGGCATTCGCTCGCCTGTCTGACCATATATGGCCAAGTCCTGCATCCTGAGTCCAGGACGTGAAGTCTCGCCGTCGCCGTTACCGTGGCAGTCGCCTCCACTGCCGCCACTGCCCCTGCCAGTTGTCCGTCAGGGAGACG